AGTCCACACGGCTAATGCATACATAATTTGTATTGGCACTCTATATGAAGCACCATTTAGATAGGGGACAATTCACAAATGATGTGGAAGTTGGGCATTCTGTGCAGAGTTTGCTTAATGGGCTGTATTGATGTCATGGTGTACTAGTGAAACAAACGCTTGGACAAGCAGGATGACTATGATGAGTAGTAACAATTACTATATCCTTTTGACTGCCACATAAGTTCTCTGGAATAAAGTGTCTTTTGGAACTCTTGTTATCTTCCTTCTAATCTACTCTTATGAACATTACAATTGTATGATTTAAAGTAATATTTTTAATGTAATGAATCTTACAACACAGTTTTATTATTTTATGATTTGCACAACTAAGGAATCTAAATCTTCCATATATCCCTTCTACAGCAATGCCAATTACAAAACAAAAAATACCTGGCCATCTTCACACTCAGCTCCTGATGTTAAGAGCAATTTCACTACTGTGCTTTCACCTGCTTTGGCAGCTGCTTCGAGAGCCGACTCTGCTCTTCTATTTAAGGTAGTGAGAGAAGCTCCCCCATTGATTAGAAGTTGGACGGCCATAGTTTGACCTGCACGAGCAGCCCAATGTAAAGCTCTGAAATTTTGATTTATAACATTTATAACTATATAATAACAGGCTTATAACTCATTTCTATATATAAAATAAAGGACAGGGCACAGTAATATATTTGTCTCACACAATTACCTTCTGAAAGAGCAATATATGTTGCACACACATACAAATGAGCAAAAGATTGTATCTTCAAAAGTAATTTTAGCTGTGGAAACTAGTTTAATCACAATTATAATTATTTCATATTTCAAAATACCCCTTTCTGTATTTTTAAAACCTAAATCAATACAGAGTAATACAATTGTAAGATGCTCACAAAACTACTATACTGCTTGGTAATAGTAATAGCATGCTCCTTATAATTTATTCTCATCACAATATTGATCCAAAATGTTCTTTAAAACTTTGTGTATAAAGCACTTCCAAAAAATTCATTATTAAGAAATATATACTAGCATATCTGAAAAATTTAAGCATGGAAATAAGTAGAATTTATCCAGGTTTAAAATATAAAAGGAAATTCAAATAAAAAATAATATGGAAAGACATAAAAACAACTACACACTTTCAGCATTCGCTGAGTAGCAAGCTACTGCTCACCTAATTCTGAGTAGCTGATGTGCTCAGTAAACATTAACTTAATAATAATAAAAATATTAATGTTAATAATAATAATAATAATAATAATAATTTTTATTGCACAATTTTCTCTCATATAAATGCATAAACATTCACAGATATAAAAAAGGATAATATACAATAAAAATTAGATGACATAGAAGAAACAATAGGGATCAGAGAAAATAGTAACAATAAATTAAATAATTGTAAATTATAAACATAAAAATGTAGTAAAATAGAGGAAGAGGTTCATTACAGAGCAAGGAAATCCGAAATGAATTTTTTAAAAAAATTATCAAAAAGAAAAGAAGTAGTAAAAAAAAGACAAGTTATAAAAACCCTTCCATTAATGAAAGTTATTGCGTATAAACTCATTAGCCCTCTAACAAAACTCTAAGAAACTCAAAACCTTCATGTCATTCAAGAGTAGCTTTTAGAAATAAGTTCCAAGATAGCAATACAAAGTCTCAAATAAGCAAAACAAATGAAGTACCAGCATTATGCAAAACTCTAAAATTCGTGCTGGTTGAGTCAGAAAATAGTCACTGATTCTAATGAACATAAGGGGGTTGTCCAAACAATAAAATATTAAAAATAAAAAGGAAAAGCTTATAGAGCCAACATTGAATTATTATCAGTCAATCAGAGCTTGATCTACATGTAGAAATGTGAGAGAATTTACAAACATGTAGCTAAATCGCAAGCAAGCATTCTGCCCAAGTTAAATTCTGTATAAAGATCTTTGTATATGACAGAGTATGTAAACTAGAACACAGTAAAAAAAACAAAAATAAGTAATTCACACAGTCTAAGCTTTACATAAGTATGAAATTACTTTGCGATATTGATACAATGATCTGTCACAAGTATGCGGCCTTACACTTGACCATTACATGATGATCAAATCTTCAGCAATCTTCCAGCCAAAGCTGTAAGTCTGCAGTTATTCACACAAGTGATTAATTGGCGCACAGCAGACAATCTGAAGGATGACAAGTTAGTATTTGACAATCTGCAATTTTCTTCAGGTTCAACCACAGACCATTATTAGAAAACGTATCTTTTGCAAATCAGAATTAACATCCGCCACAGCCTTCTATCCTGAGGGATGGAAAATGTGAATGATTGCGAGTCATCAGCAAATATAATTTTTTCAGACAATAGTTCCAGTTTCAAAAAGTCCGAACCAGTGTAAATAATGGGGGATGAAGTATAGAGACATGCAGAACACCATGGCTCAAAGTGCAAGTCTTGCTATGTAAAATAAGGCATTTATTCAATTCAATTATACCTATCTGACAATAATGATTCTTAAAAAGGAAAAATAACTGGCATTGCAGTAGGAAAAGCGAATTTTCAGTGACTGCAATAACCTGAAGTATTGGCTCAGCTATTTACGATTAAAAAGGTCAGGCTGTACAATCATACACCAAAACAAGAAAAAACTGAAGTTGGGAAAAGTCAAGCAAAACTTTAAGCATGAAACAACAAAACATCCAGAAGTCCCACCTGCACCCCATCCTCTAGCAATTACTAAATGAATCTTTTGGGGTTCTTAGTTCCTCTAGGAGGAACTTTCAAAAAGTCATTATGTCAAGACATATGCCCACTAAGACCTAATGCATTGGTTACCAGAGAGATGTAAAAAACAATGAGTGGTGCCAATTTTCTCTTGTCTGATTCTTTTGGAAAAATTGAAAGATTGGAAGAATAGGAATGAGAAAATGGGTCACAATCATAGAGATCTCTTCAATATCTTTATACAGTTTACCACCATTTTCTTGTTGCTTTATACTCGAAAAACTTATGCCCTGCAAATCCACTAAACCTGTCCTTAAATTATAAAAAACCTCTCATTCAGCTTAGTTATTCCTTACCTATCTCCAGGAGCTTCCCATGAATTTGGATCAGGATCTGGATACACCCACTCCATTTCATCTCCACCATTTGGATTTGCACCAGCCTCCAGAAGACACTCCACCATCTCAATGTGACCTTCCCTTGCCACTTGTTTGAGGGCTTTAGCCCCTGCCCTTCCCATTGCAGCCAGTGGGGCAATGGCCAACACTGCTCTCACAACTACTACGCTTCTTGTTGCAACAATTGCATCATCCCCGTCAGGCAGTTCCCCATCCTCTGTGCGATGGCGCATCAATGTTTGGACAGTATTTACATGACCAGCACGAGCCGCTATCCACAATGCTGTGTGTCCTAATTCATTTTCTGCAGACAGGGATGCCCCAGCAGATAGCAAAGACTCCACTGTGGCAGTGTCACCAGCACGTGCAGCATAATGAAGTGGGGAGTCTCCTGGAGCATGCCATCCCCAGGCAAGATTCCCAAACATGCCAAGTTTACGCCAATGTTTCAAGGTGCCAGCAGCATTATGAAGGGCTGCTAACTGCAGGGACATGGAAGGCAAGATATTTTCTTCTGGCATTGTTATACACCTGCAGTGACAATGGCAGATTTGGTAAATGTCATGTTTCAGATGTCAATGAATTCAGAAAAAGTTTTGGGCATTAAAACATTAGAATAAAAAAGAAATACAATTTGACCAAAGATATATTCATAAAATTTCGAATAAACTAAACATTTAAACGCCTGTTTATAAAATTTCACTATTAAAATCATGGCAAAGAATTTGGGAAGTGTTCTCATCCATTGGAGATACAAAACCGTACTTTTTTTTACTTAAATAAAAAACATCACCGGGCAGTTCCTTTAACTGGAAACAGGGAAATATAACTCCTACTAAGGTTTGAACCCTGTTAAATCCTTTAGAAGCCAAAACAGATAAACCAAAGACGCAAATTACCAGCCAATGAACAATTTCAGCCACCCAAAAATGGTTTGGCTTAATTTTTAATTGTTTTCATTTATATTTATTAATTACGAGTTGAAAGCCCAACACTGGCAAGAAGGATGAGTAAAGTCAAACTAATGTGGCCTGCATGCATTTGTTGGAAATATAGCCGGTTTGTGGACATATGACACTCACTCGGTAGAGGACAACAATAGAAACACATAAATATACATGTCAATATAATTCAAGAGATGAATTTTATTAAAAAGAATATTTCATATTAATGTAACTTGCAAATTCTACAATACAACATAGAAAATTACAAAGACAATTTCTAATAACTATTATATTAGAATTTTATTTTAGAGTAAGCTCCTCAAAATCAAGATTCAAGACAAAACTAATAGGAGACTATTTCAAGTACCAACGTTTCAAAAAACTTCTTTCTTTGTAAGAAAATTTATCCTGTTTTTGTTTTAAGAAATCCAGTAATAATTTTCTCAAGGTATTAACTTAAACCATTTACTATGCTCGATTAAGGAATGAAACTCTTAAGTGACAATCACAGCGCAATATTGGCTAAAGTGTATTTCTTTTCATTTCAAAAGGATTTATTAAGTTCATAATCTTATAAGAGAGCATTTAACAAATAATTTGACTTGTATCTGTTTTGTAAATTAACTACTTTAACTTATTTTATTGAGACAAATTATTGACAAAAAATTTCAAGAGAAATCACAAAACTAATAATAATATATAATAATAGTTAATCACGTAATAACAATCATAATAATACAAATAATGTTAATTAACTAAGTATCAAAACTATATTTTAATCCCTGAATTTGAGAGAACAAAGTGTGAAGGGTATCTTAATATGGTTAATAACAAAAAAAGAAAAAGAAAGAAAAGAGAATAGGAGTAACCAAAAAGGAAGTTTTGCAATACACCAGTTAAAAGAAGTAATTAGAACCTTACCTCTCTGTATGCAATTGGTCAACATTAACTTGTGTCAGGAAGTCAATTGATAGGCCTTCATGGACCCTAATGGTTCATTTATAGTTAATACTCCGATTTTGTCCAACACGCATTTTAAGAATATAAGTTAAACCTAAAAAGTACGGCATCGAACACATTCTGTTGAATTCAATTCCTTTAGTACAATCAATGAGAATTGAAACTTCGCATAAACAAGTCACCCCTAAAACCACTTCACACCTGTATATTAAATTGTACAACCACTACTGTACTTTTCAAGTTGCTTTCTCGTATTATCCTCGTATATCATAGTATAGGTCCTCGTATTGCACCAGTTACATGCAAGTTTTTAATAAACTTGAAACATGTTATATTAAGATATAACAATTGTTGCAAATAAACGATCTATCTACAAGCGGTTGCAATAGAAATTTCCCCAGTAATAAAAGTTGTAATCTTTCATGTTAATTAAATAGTCCAATAAATCGCATAACCTGCACGGGTGCGCTCATAACACCTGTATAACCATAACACACTTCTCCCGAACCATCCTCCCAACTTTATCAGATTGACAGACAAATATTCACAATGGCCCAAAGCTAAGAAGTTCATACAGAGGTGACCATATGTTAAAGAATGTTCCACCAAGTTATTAAAATGCGGAGTACGTAGTATTTATTCGTGATGAAAAGTATAGATTAGCAAATTTCACGGAAATCATTTTATTTTAAATATTATATTCCAGTAATTCTGCATGCAGTGCAGTATAAAGTTTGCAACACTGGTTTCTTCCTAGTCGCGCGTAAACAAATGTACGTATGTGATACCGCATTCCTTTATGTTTGTAAAAAAAGTAAAATGGATGATTACGACTCGTGAACGCTACATTAATTTAAAGAAGCAATTCAACGGGCTACATCAGCAGCATTAACTACATGGATGGAAGAAAAACGACGAAAATCTGTTGAGAGAAGTAGGGCTATTGCCCAAGACATTACTTACAATAATTTGTAACATTAATTTTAATATAAATGTTTCCGAAAATATAATCAAGGCAAAAGTTATTTATAAGTAGCGTAAACAGTACCAAGATGTTTACAGTTATATTAATATTATTTAGTAAAGTGGCGAGGTTTGAAAGAAGAGAGGCACAAACAAAACTTGTGGAGCTATGGAATGATATAGACTTTCTTATTATACTACTTAATATTCTATTCTCTTGAGTCTGAATTAGCTTTTTGATTTTTGTTGGTTAATTATTTTAGTTGGCTTGCAGAGCTTTTACATAGCCCCAACACACGTAATTTAACCTCAGGATCATAGAATACAATATTCTTACATATTAATAACACAATTACTATTTCGAAAATTATTGTCTGTCTCTTATTAAATATTCAGATTTTTTTAAAGTACACCTCTAATTTTTAGACATACTAGTTTTTTCAATAAACTATTTATTTGAAGTCATACATGTTCATAACTTATTTTTATTAATAACCTGTAGCGGTCCGTTTCTAAATGCTCCTCATCTTCAGGTATGTCTTGAAAGGTGAAAGAAAACTGAAGATAATTATTAACTCCTTTGAAAATTATAGACATAACCTCAAACTTGGCACTAGTGAACATCACATGTTATCAGGTATGTGTAGAAAGTTGTAATCAAACAACTTTCTACTCAAACCTAATGAAGCTAACCACCATACTCAGTATAGCTCAGAAGAACGCCACAGCATGATGGCCGAATCGTCAGTTCGACGGATTGTATCGTGGCTCATCCCGGCCAGCCTATTAAATGACTCCGGTCGCGGAAGCCCACGAATCCACAATAATCCATTTGGATTATAAAGTGTATTCTTTAATTCTCCAAATGAAAATAAAATATTTTTTAAGTATAATTACCTGCATTCTGCACATGTATCAATTTTGTTTAATGTAATTTGGTAGTGTGTAATAAAATAATGTACAACCATGTGAATTTTTTGTATGGACGTATTGATACTGACAACTGATGAACATGATTACTATACGTACGTTGAGTACTATAGTTATAGATATTTGTATTAGTTGAAAATTTATCTGATTGTTTCTTTATCTTTAGTCTTATAACATTAAAAACTTTGACTTAATATTATATTTAATATCATATGTTGTGGAATTGCTCTAATGGAATAGCTTTTTTTGAATTCTTTAGTGCCTAGAATAGCCCCTCCATTCCATTATCTGCACAAATCTTACCATAAAGTGCATCATTAGCTTCCTTCCTGACTTTGAGTAATATTTCCTTAACATTTCTTTTAATTTTTAGAGTAGATTTGAATTCACCAATCACTACCTTTTCTAATTTATATGTTCATTTGTTTTATGATTTCATGTCATAACAAATACAAATACCATAGGGACTTATGAGTATCTTCTAAATGTACTTTGTAGTCTAGATTATGCATTTCTCGAGTGCATCATTCTGCGACTTGACTCCTTGATGAGTCATTCTTTACCTGAAACAATGTAGACTGATCCTGGTTGTTACGTCCCTTCTGATTCATGAATTTCTTGATATTGTTCGTATCGTAAGCACGTATTCACTGTCCTTACCTACTTTTCCTTTTATTACTAGACTTAGGAGCCGTCCACAAATTACGTAACGTGAATTTGGAGTGTTTTCATTATCCCCTCTCCCCCTTGTAACGCACTCGTAACGCGCGCTTTAACCACCCTAAATAATTACGTAACGCTTGCGACCACTTTCCCCCTTGTAAATGCAAGGAGTAAAAATAAATTACAGCGCAGTAAAACAATTTGTATTTATTTTACTTGTGTTGTATATTAAGGTAATTAATGATAAAGTAGAAATTAGTTGGCCATGCTGGTTGCATCTAAGAGTAACATTAGGCAAATTGTTAGTGAAGGCAGAATGCTTGGGTGAGAAATGGTTGATCAGAAGCTATGCATACGTCATAGTGGATTATGCAAGAGCTAGAGTCTACAGCGCCAATTTAAATGGATTCTAGAATACACCATCTCAATTTTGAATATTTTCTTCGCAATCTTACAGATTAAAAAAATGTAAAAAATATTTTTATTCATTGTTAAAATTTGCAACTATTGACTTTAGCTTATGTTTTAAAAACAAATTAATTATTTCATATTTTTATTTTAAGTACATAACTCAAAAAAGAAATAATTTCTGCAAATGTAAATGAATAAATAAATATCAATGTTACGAAGCACTTAACTAATACCCCCTCCCCCAATGTAACGCAGCGAAACACTGCCTCAGAGCTCAGACCTCATTTCCCCTATTTAGCGTCACGTAATTTATGGACGACCCTTATTATTATTATTATTATTATTATTATTATTATTATTATTATTATTATTATTATTATTTGTTTGTTACTATACCCAGGAAGTTTGGCAATATTATACCTTTTTACTTTCTCGTATATATGGATTAATATGAGCAGTATAGAGCAAATTAAAAAATGCCGTGGGAAATCGATTTCAACGGAAATACACTTTTCGGATACCGAAAAAAAGTTTTTTAATTTAATTTTTTTTTCAAAACGTCTGACGGGAGTGGCTGTAATATTTGTCAGTGAACTGCAGGCGATACCTGTGGGAATAGCCGACTCATTTCACTCTTACCTTGATTGGAAGAAACACGGTGGACCATATTCGAGCCGTATTATCTTGGACAGGGACTCATGCACAAGGGGATTTCTGCCATTTTGAGGAAATCAGAAAATATGAATTGAATAATTGGGAAAGATAACATATAACTAGCGTACCTGTGCGGTAAGTCTCGCATGTTAATTCCCAACCCAACAAAGAAAGAAAGAAAAGAAAAGAAAAGAAAAGAAAAGAAAAGAAAAGAAAAGAAAAGAAAAGAAAAGAAAGAATTAGTGTTGACCATCGGTATCATGGATCCGCCAATCATGAATACAACGTGTTAGAGGAAGTAATTTATTACACGTAAGAACAACATTTATCCATTTTTCCATATCAGAGCCCCACAGCACAGTGTTTTTGATATGCCAGGCAAGAAAGCAATACATATTAGCATAAAGAAGTGAAATTAAATTCTTATATTTGAATAGTTTAAAACAATTTTTTGAAATTTAGTTCGTTGGATTTTCATGTATCTTTGGGAAAATGGTCAATAATTTGTAAACATTAATACTTAAGTGGTACCTAGTACTAATATTACAACTGAGAAAGTACGTTTGTAGCGAAGATGATCAATTTTATTTCAGAATTAGTTTTTATTTAAGTTTCAAGTTTCCAGTACTAAATTAATAAAACACAAATAAATTGCGCACACCATTTATTGAATTCAAACCAGCTGTGCAGTCAGTGGTTACATTTTATTATATACTTAACAAAGGAAATTACAGTTGATAGAATACTTATTAATTTATTAATAAAAACATTATTGTCTGTTACAGTGTTTTTGAAATATTTACGTCTAGTTCTGTTGTTAAACGAAACTGAACCTACGAATAACGTCGTAGGATGAGTCCTTTTTCTGAGTCATGCTTTTGGAAGATCTTTTTCTGTCAGATTTTCTTGAACTGGATTCCAAGAAAGGGCTTCTAGGTATAATTGTTGATCCAATAGCGACCGAGTGAGCCTGCATTGAAATAAATTGCTTTTAAAATATCAAAAGAAGTGAAGACAATAAGTCAAGGCAACATTTTATCCACTTCGTAAAAAATACAATGAACTGTAATTTCTATTTAAATCTGACTATTCATCATGCAAATTTGACAGATTGATGCTTCTATAGCTAATTAAAGGAAATGGATTATTAGAAAACTTACGTGAACACTTCTCCTTTTCATGACGAAACTAATCATTGTTGTACTTTACTAGAACACTTGTGTTCTAATAACTCTTATTACGACACTGATCTTAGTCTCGTTGACTTAATCAAGTGGATAAAATGATTTTTTTGTATATCAGCATTATAAACGACCTTTTCTGTTGTAAAAAATCGTTCACAATCGGACATTTTACGGCACAAATGATGACGTATTGATTACGTCATCACACATCCAATCGCCAATCGCAATGAGAGAATCGTGGGGAAGTAAAGGTAAGCGGAGCAGCCGACCACCGTTTTTTAGCAAGATATCAAATACCCAAGACGTCACAAGAAATTTGTTTCGCAAAATTAAGTTTGATTCTTCTATAAATTTATAATGCTGTTAAACAAAAAATAGCGTATCCAGCTCGTTTGTAATGTTCCTTTATTGCATTCGTACAAAATGGAAAATTCGCTCCTAACGCCGC